CACACACACACACACACACACACACACACGCAGCCACGGATGCCCTTTCAGTTTGACGGGCTTGGACTGTTCTGTTCTTTATGCAACTTGCGGCCTGCTCTGAAGTCAGAACAAATGACCTCCGGCAACGTATTAAAGTTTCAATCTGCATAATCTCTTTTAAAAATATGAGTTGGGACTTCATTCTGTTTTCCAAAAATTCAGATGAAGACACCTAAAGGTTGCATGCAGTCTATTTCAATGTCACATTCCAGGTGATGTGGCATAATTTGCATATTGTTGGCTTAAATGTCTTGAAGAGACTTTTTGTATTGACGATCCGCATTTCAATATTACTTCATCAAACGTGATGTTGTCTGAGCTTGGATTTGAAATGAGAAAGAATATTCATGTTACTTGAAGCTACTAGATTCAAATAGAATTAAATTATCTTCTTAAAGTTAAATGTTATTGAAAGGCAATTTGAACAATCTATTAACTGGAAGATCAAAATTAAAATCCAATAAATGAAATGTGAAGTAATAAAATTGATCTATCCAGTGACTACTGACATGACATCTCCATGGAGAAGCTTGGCAAAGGAGAATTTGAGATTTAACTGGAGTTTGTGTTGCAGGTTTTAAGTTCTCCAAGTGAATACACAGGCTTTCGGAGCACACTAAGCTCTGTCAATTCACAAGAATATGAAGAAACCCATTTGAGAAGCTCTGCAGGCTCAGAATCTCAGAGTCCTGTGCCAGCCAGGGTACGGAGTCCTCAAGTAGCCAGAATGCGAAGCCCTCAAGCAGCCCAGGTACTATGCTTGGATAAAAATCTATACTTGTTAATCATCTGTCTCTCATTGCAGCGTTAGATTCAAAAAAAAGAGTTTACTTTTTTACAGCTCGAATTGAATTAGCTTCATTGTCATGTGCACTCAAATGAGTTCAGTGAAAAGTTTGTAATGTAACCGTTTTGGCACCACTTTAGGTACCGGGGTACCTAGTTACAAACACTTAAGTATGTGTTACAGACTTGGAAAAAGTAGTAAATAAAAATTCAGCATAACAATAAAGAAGTTTTTACAAAAAAGTACTCGAATTATAGTCTTTTCACCAAGTCTGTGCCAGCACAGGGCCAAGTCTCTAGAGTGTACCAGGCATCAAATCTCAAGGCCTCGCATCCAGTCCACAAGGGTCTCGCCTTTGGTCTGCCTTATCGCCTCCAGGACTCACCTCCTACACTGGTCTCCGTTCTGGGACCCACTGACCCCTCGCTGGCCCAGTCTGGGGCTCACCTCTCGGACTCACCAGCGACCGCCTTTGGTTTGGCGTCGCCTCCTCCATTCCCATCCGGGTAAGTTTAATATAAAAATAAAAATTATAAAAAAGGAAGAAACTGCAGGCAAAGAGAAAAGAAAGAGATTAAAAAAGAAGGATGGGCGGAGCAGAGGAGCTCTGGCTGGAGCATCTTAATCTGCCACCATCTTGAATCAATATCATATCAGAAAGAGGTTTATTTATTAAAACTAAACAGAAATCAAATGAGGATAATTTTAAGCAGTTCCTTTGACTCCTGCTCAGTACTGTGCCTGCAGTTTGGAAGGGAAATATTTGTGATGATGTTTTATTGCTTCAGTGGCGTTATCAGGGTTGGTTATTGTGGCTACCTTGCATGAAGACTAACTGGGAGCCAGTGGATAATTGAATTCAGGTGGCAAAGGAACATCTTTATCTTATAAGGCATTCCCCATGATCTGAAGTCTTCAGGTTTTATGTAGTCATATGAAAATGTATACCTTGCAATTGATTATGTCAGCGATCAACTTACTGGCAAATGGGAGCTGCAAACAGATTCACCTGCCCCATCTGCCGATCTTCCTGGAGATTGGTCATCCCCATGAGGGAATCTTCCCAGGCAGTGTGGGGATTTCAGGGGTGAAATTGCCCACTGCTCTCGTGTATTTTGACCTCTGATAGGGAACAAAGGCCTTTTTTTAATTTTAAAAGGAGAAAATGTGCAGAACATTTAGTCCTGAGATTGGATAGATGACTTGGTGTAGCAATGAAACTTCTTTAGCTCTCCATAAACTCCAGCAGAACTCTAATTTGAATGTTTATATAGGAAGAATAATAATATAAAAGGAAAATAATTCATAACTTGTAATTAGTTATTATGTCAGAAATCAACATTCTTCAGCAATTGAGAATGAGAATCTAAATGTGAAAAGCAAGTTAAATCGTCAAGTATAAACTATCATTGGCCAACTGTCTGCCTGTCACTCTTCAGCATGTTAAGTTGGTATTGGGAGCTTACTGTATCGGACTGTTAACAGAAAATGATGAGGCATAAGCACTTTCTGGATATTTATGCATTTTCAGGAGTACAAGAAAATAAGTTTACCTTCATAGTGCTTGCCTGACTCAGCATGAGTCAAATGGGCAGATCTCAGACTGTTCTTGTAAAGGGCTGAGAGTTGGTTTTTATGTTTGTGCCAGAGCAGATTAAGCTTTTCTCATAATAAGATAAATGTGTTGGTCAGAATCTATTAGGGCAGAATGATGTCCTCCGTATGGAGAATTTTAACCTGTAACAGGACACATCAAAGGGTAGGAAAATTTTGGAGATAAAGGTAAAAGGTTAATGACAATTAGGATATCATTCACATAAGATCTGATCTCAACTGCTCTGCTGTTTGTACCATCGATGCTCCTTAAAATGGAAAACGTCAGCTCTGAGAAAAGGAACATGTATTTTAGTTTTTCACCTTGAATCCACAAAGCCTTGTGGTTGAATGGGTGGCATCTCTCCCTCTGGACCAGAAGCTTCGAGTTTGAGTCCCAATTAATTGCCAAGGAAGGTGTGTTCATAAAGCAGCCAAACAATCTGTGCATCAACCTTCAAATATTTCCTAGCACACTATCAGCAGATGGGAAGGATGGGCGAGATTCCTTGTCGGCCCTGTGATGGAAAGAACATTGGACTCTTTACCATCACTATCTATTTCTTTGGCAACATGTTTGTAAAAGTGCACTTAGCCACAGCAGCTCAGACTCTCTGAATGAACTGTAATACACCACCACCAGCAACGTTTCAAACTCCAGTATCTGGTGTGATATGCTCCAGGGATAGCTGTTCTTCAAATGAAATGAATAAAGGCAAGAATGGAACTAAGCAATAGTAGTCCAACAGAGCTGGACAAGGTGGGAGAGCCAGTGGAGGAGATTGATAGGGCCAATTATGTGAAATATCAGGGAAGATTATGCACTATTGTCACAATTTCGGAAGAGAATGTCACTTGCAACATTGATGTGTGACTTCAGTGTGGTTTGAGGGGCAAAGGATGGAGTGGAAGGATTCATCTTCAAATCCAAGAACATTGAAGATGAAAAGAAGATAGGGCTGTAGTTAATGAATGTAGAGGGTGGATTTCAATTTTGAAAGGAAGATTTGTGAAAGATGGTAGAAGTGTTAAATGCATGTCTCATGGGTTGAATGGATCAAATTTAATATTTGAGTTTCTTATGTCAACATTGACTTATGCTTCAATAAAAGCAAAATCCTGTAAATCTAAATAAAAATGAAATGCTAGAGAAACTCAGCAGGTCTGACAGCATCTGTGGAGAGAGAAACCAAGTCAACATTGAGTTCAATATGACTGTTCTTTGAAACTTGAGAAGAGTCATACTGGACTTGAAACTTTGAGTCTGTTTCTCTCTCCACAGATGCTGCAAGACCTGCTGAGTTTCTCTAGCACTTTTTGTTCAGATTTAAGTTTCATTGCTTTTCCATTTAGTCCATTTATTTGCATTTAGAATTTGGGTGTGGAGAAAAGTTGATTCAGTTTTTTAATGAGGGTGGTGCCTGAGGTGGTGTTGTAGCCGTGCTTTGTGAGAGATTGCTAATGTTAAGTATTGTAGCTACAATTTGGAGAAAATAGCTGAGTTTGTGAAACTGTTGCTGAGATCAGCTATTGTAGCTTTGTGAAGATGGTGATGTAATGATGTAACTTGCCTAGCAGTTGCATGTAGTGACTGAAAGACCTCTAGAGTACTGCACGAGAAAGTGTAGAATCTAATGAAGCTTGCTAGAGCAGAAATTGTGACAGTAGACCATGGGAGTATTCGCATCAGAATCTAAATGGCAGGAAAGGAGATTTTAATCAAATGCATGCCTGGAAGTTTGAGAGGCTGCAAAAATAAATTTGCAAAGGACAGGAAAATCATTAAAACACTTGTGAAGTTTGTTGAGCTACATTCGCATCCGCCCACCTGAGTTAAATGAAGCCTAGAAAATCAAATGGGAGATGCATGGATCTGATTTTGATGAAAGTGAGTTCCAGGCAAAGGGAGTAGGATGAGCAGAAATCTTTTGAGAAGAAGGGACAACTCAGATTTGCTAAGGGGCAGAGCTTCATAGAGGAAACTCAAATCTGAGCTGAGGAGAGTGAACCCTAAAGGGACAGCTGAGATCTCAGACAATCCAAAGCAGGGCCAGTGTGCTGAGGTCCACCTCTTAGTATTGGTGAGAGTTAGAAAATGGGATCATCTATCCAGTCTGCTGCACACAAGTGCTGGAGGACATGTGCAATGAAACACTGTCAGGTAATGTTGGCATTCTCACTTCAGTACACTCTGTAACGTAATTGACCTGGCCCCGTGCGTCACTTGAGCTAAGAGTCTAGTCGCACTGTGACCGTATTTGGCCTGCTTCCTGGCCTGCCAACAGGATCTGTAACTTCTTTACTAAATTCCACCTGATATGTTCACAATTGTTTTGTCAATTAAACTGCACGGTAATTGATTCTTCAATTTTAAATATCAATTCCACACCCTGTGGAGCATTAACTCATCTTTATTTAGACTAAAATGAACATAATTATAATTGCCATAGGACCGATTACCAATTTTCAACAAATAATCCACTCAAAATAATAGTAGCTTGGATGTGACTCAGCTAAGCTTTCTGGTCAAGTTCACACCAGGTTCATTTTTTAACAAAGTAATGAAATCACCCTATTCAGATATTATTTCATTTTAATACAATGAAATGCATCATTCAAACTCCACCTTTTCATGCTATATATCTCTTCTGGCAACTTTTGAGGCATTAGTATCTGATTACACATCTTTACAAAACAATGCAGTAGGTATTAACATATTGGACTTAGTTCAGTAATTGTATCCTGTTTCTTTGAGTGTATCTGTCTGATGATTACTTAAAGTTACAGACTAAGAACGTGCCCAGTCTGTACTGAATTGCCCGATCTCAAAAAGGGTGGGCAGTGGGATGTGTCACCATTGATCAAAGTGCCCCCAGGTAGAACTGAACATGTATATCTTAGTTGAGACATTTACATGAGTTGTGACCATTTGGGCAACTTACAAAGGAACATGTGGCGTCACAACTAGTTAACTTCATTAGGACAATGTAGAGAAAATTAACCTTGGGAACAACACATTGGGCTTACATGTACATCTGCAAATTATTTTCAGTCTTTGCTGGGTGTTCTGCAAAAGATAATAAGCAGGATATAAAGATTGTGGACAGTGAAGATGAAAATGAACCCTAATGTCAGAGGAAATAAAACGTTATCTTTAACAGTGACAGGTGGGACTCAGAGGTGGATTACCTGCTCCCATTTCCTGCAGATTCCCTTATTGCCAATAGGTAGGTGGGTTTGCTGCGTTATTCTCACAGCAGCACCATTTGAAGTTATGCAAAGTTCAAATAGATCCCCTTCTGTGGTTGTTCCAAGACTGTTAATGTGGAGTGTGGGAGTCATGAATTTACAGAAGTATAAGCACTTCTGCAGGATGAACAAGGTTTGTTTAAGTACTATAATCTGAAATTATTTAAATCCCATTTAAACATGAAAATAACACTGTGACTGTCGGAGTAAATAAGTAGATATTTACTGCTTAATTGTTGATTAACAGGCCATCTGAAGTAACATAGAAAAAAAAACCTGTCAGCCATATGTTACTGCAGTTCCTATAGATTTCATTGGTGACTTTTCTGAAAGGGCTGTCATTAATGCCGAACTCATTATGAATGCTGGCAGAATTTCACAAACTCTAAAATCACTTAACTCAGCAGGCGATATGAGTTGACATTTTACATGATGGTTTTAAGAGGATATTAAATGATTAGCTGTCTTTGATTTTGTTTGCTTTTACAACAGATTGACCACAGAGGGGATTTAAAATGTTGAATTCATTTTGTAAGTGAGAGTTTTTTATCAGCATCAGGCGTGTACGAATGAGAGCTCTCGAGATTGTTAGATGTTTTTCCATCTTCTGTAGTGGCCTGTATGTAGTAATTACTGAGTGAGTGTCTGTGAAGGTGACCGGGAGGTACCATGGGGCATGAGATGGCAAGGATATATGGACAATGGCACAGAAGTATGAGTGTACATGGGGCTGGAGGGAGAGTAAGAGTTTGAGGGTATGATATCTTATCATACAGCGAGGGCAAAGTCTCCGAGAATTGTAGTCACCTTCAGTGTGGCCTAGCACTAACTTGCTTCTATACAGCTGTTGTGGCACTGCCTCCAGAGCCAAATAGTAGACCCAACAGTCACAGATTAGAGTCCTGGAGCAAAACTCATGCATGCAACTGGTGTTTCCATGACCAACCCTCCCTCTCATCCCCGCCTCCTTGACCTGACACAACCTGTCAGTCTTCTCAGAGATAGTAGGAACTGCTGATGCTGGAGTCTGAGATAACAGTGTGGAACTGCAGGAACACAGCAGGCCAGGCAGCATCAGAGGAGCAGGAAAGCTGATGTTTTGGGTCGGGACCCTTCTTCAGAAATGAGGCTTTGCAGTGGGGTTATAACTCACTTAGAGATAGTAAGAACTGCTGATGCTGGAGTGTGAGGTAACACAGTGTGTTCTTCTTCTCTCCCACCTACCCGCTCCTCCCACCTCACTGATCAATCCCCACCACTCCCTACCTGCACTCACCATCCCACCTACCTTCCCCAACCCCACCCCTCCCCCCTCTCTTTATTTCAGAGCTCCCTTCCCCCTACCCCACTTCTGAAGAAGGTTCCCAACCCAAAACGTCAACTTTCCTGCTCCTCTGATGCTGCCTGGCCTGCTGTATTCCTCCAGCTCTACACTGTGTGTTATCTCTTGACTCCAGCATTGGCAGTTCTTACTATCTCCCACTTGTTTCCCTTATTTCTTTAGCATCCATGATTCTCTCCTCAGTAAACACTGAGGAGAAATATTCATTAAAAAATCTGCCCCCATGTCCTGTGGCTCCACACATAGACGGCCATGCTGATCTTAAAAGGGACCTATTCTCTGCCTAGCCACCCTATTACTCCTAATATAGCTATAGAACCTCTAGGGATTTATCTTTAACATTATCTGCCAGATCAATCTTGTACCCTCTTTTTGCTCTTCTGATTTCCCTCGAGTGTTCTCCTACACTTTTTATAGTCATTTAGGGATTCACGTGAGCCCGATAGCTTAAACCCAGTGCATGCCTTCTTTTTATGAACTGCAGCATTATAGCATTATGATACTTCTACTGTGGCCTTGTGCCGCAGTTCCGTTGTCTATCGGAATATTTGAATGCGGTTTTTTTTTCCACAAGTGTTTAACTTAATTGATTTGCCTTTGAACTATACTTACTTTATCTTGTAAACAACCAGAAATTACTTTTGAGTTTCAATGGCCAAATTATGAATATTATGTACCTTGATGTTTGTGAACATGCTCGCCATTTCCTTTGCAATATTTCAATGGCAATTCTGAGCCAACAGAGAGAATCCACATTTCAAGAGCTAAGTACTAAAATCAAAGTTATAATTATTGATCTTTACACTAATAGCCTGATTTAAGTCTTTAAGTACATCTGCTGTTGGTAATTGTTTATATTTCTAATTATATCGTCATCCTAGAGCTCTAGGCATACTCTCCAGCCTTTTTCCTGTGAAGAATACAAGTCTGCTTTGCTAAGGAAAAAAGACTAGATTTAGTTTCCTGTCCTTGTCCTCCTCATGCAGGTTTCCAGTATTTGTCTCACTTCAGCTTGTGGGCTGAATACTCCAGTCTTTGCACTATTCCGAAACTGTAATGTCAGTCAATGGATTATATCCAGCTGACACAAAGTATGTTTAATGTAGATGAACCTAACATTGTAGGTCAGTAGGAAATTAAATCACTGCCCTCACACCCTAAAACACCTGTTAAACCGTTATTTAGGTGTTCTTAATTCAGTAGAATACTTTGAGTTTTTATGATCATTTAAAAGATAAATAGGAATTTTTAAGGAATGCTTGGAAGGTAGAGACGTGTACTTGGCTCAAAAATGTGAATTTTTCATTCTCAAATCCCTTCATTACCTTGCATCTCTCTATTTCAGTAATGTGATTCAGTTCTGTAATCCTTAGAAAAACGAGATTCTCTAATTTGACCTCTAATACATTCCCAATTGTTATTGCTTTACTGTGGATGACTGTGCCTTCAGTTGCTCAGGCCCAAATTCTGGAAAACCATCCCTTAACTTCCTCACCTCTCTATCTTGCTGTCCTCCTTTTAAATCATCATCTTTGACCAAGCTGTTGGTCATCTAACCTAATGGCTCCTTATGTAACTTGATGTCATACTTTGTTTCATTAATGCTCCTGTGCAGTGCTTTGATACGCTATTAACATAAATTGTATAGGTTGAGAACCAGCAAGACATAAAGCTGAAATGTTTAAGCATTAACACAAGCATAAACACAAACACACACATACACAAAAATGTGTACTTCTGAATTAAAAATGTTTGAATTATCAGATGATGTGAATGAATTCTCAAAGCCAATTATAGGCAAGCAACACCCAATTTCATGAATATATGTTGTTTTTTGTCAACTTGCAATGATTTACCACATTTCTCTGTAGCACCACCTATGAAAAACTGCAGCTTTTAGCAGTAAATCAACACCAATGCCTTCACGAACTGATTCTGCATATTCTTCAGCTAGAATCTTGATTTGGTTAGAGCTTGTTTGTAACAGACATCTTAAAATGTGAGAGCAACATATTTTGAATGTGTTAACCAAAACTATTTTTCACAACAAAAAGCTATACTTATTTTGATAAGTACAGGTCACAACCCATTTACTGTACAATTCTACATTTAATGTTGTGCTGGAATGTTATTTAGATATTTATGGGGGGGGGGTCACAGCTATTGTGTACTACTTGGTTATGAATTGCTCTTTTTCTCTTGCAATGGTTATTTCCAACTTCAATATCAACGAGTTAAGCCAAATTCCACACCTGAAATGGAAGATTTGCATTTGTATAAAAAACCCTGAAAATGTCCCAAATTTGTACCAATTTAATGATAGTTAAGACTGAACAGTCACCTGTACTTTAACCATCATTTGGAATTTGTTCATATTCGTGTGCACAAACAGGTAAAGATGAAGAATGACTTTCCAGTCCATCTAAGGCAATCCATAGTTTGCGCTCTGTCTAAAGAACCTATTTTTCATTCTTTTCTAGAAGTTACCGGGAAAGGGAACATCAGAGAGTTCAGATCTCCTAAATCTCTTGGAATTTACTTCAGCAGTTGCTTTTCTTGCTGCTTACTGAGTAGCCAGTTATTAAGTCTTTTGAGCTTGCTGAAATGGCGTGGAATTAGAAACATTATCTTTGATACCTGATGAGATATTAAATTAAATACTGGAGTTAGTGTACACTTGAGGAATTTACTTTGGTCTTGTGCATCATTACAAAGGAAACTGTTGCACTCACATGAACTAAAGGTTTCTGTTAAACATTTTTGTAATGGTACCAAAGACTGGATGGGCAAGTTTGACCAAATGGCAACTTGTACAGGCATGCAGGTTTCAAGTCTAAGAACATTGGATATCCAATTTGCCTTTGGTATATTATATGTCTTTGTGAAGCATCTTGCAATTTGTAAAGGAAAAGGTAAAATAAAATTAGTTAGAGATAAAATCCAAAGGCAGTTTGAGTATATTTTTAAAGACTGAGAGAATGTGGCATGACTGTGAAGAGGTCTGGAAAATCAGGAGATTGGATTCACAGGAGCTCATAAGAATAACTGCCACCTATTCCCTCTTCAACTGATCAGAGTTTTCTTTCATGTTGAACACTACCTGGAAGAAGCACTGAGGGGAGCAAGGGCACACACTGCCCATCACCAAAAGTGGCTCAATGACACCACCACTGTCTGAGAAGGCTGAATCTTGAAGGATGTATCTGCCATATTTTTACCAATGAAGGTAGTGGGAGAAACAACATAAGGGAAAATCCTACTTGGCCCTGACTTCACTAATCAATCTGTTCATGATGGTAGGAGTGACCACTGTGCAATCCTTTAAGAGACAAAGTTGTTTTTGTGTTGTGTGACATTAGCATTCTGATAAAAGGGATAGATACATAAAAGATTCACCAGCTGTGAGGTGCTGCAGGCTTTAAACAACAGTAGAATTATATTCAGCCACAAGGGCTAGGCATGTCATTCACTTTAATATTAAACATCAATCCATGGTTCAATGGAGAGTACAGGAGAGGATGCCAGGAGCAGCATCGGGCAGACTTAAAGATAAGGTGCTAACCTAATGAAGCTGCATCACAGACAATGCTAAATGATCTCACAACCAACCAATTAAAAGCTTGCAGTTCTGTCATTTCTAGTCTAAATAGTACAGGTAATGTGCTGTAATGCGATAGTTGCGTTTCCAATAGAAAATTGTGCTATAGAAATAACAGGGCTTATGGGAAAAGTAGAGTGGCTGTTAATGTCAAAATTATTCCAAAGTTCAAATGAAATCCTTTTTCTCCCCTACTTACGTGTAATGGCATTGTTTGTTGTTTGGAATCATATCATCAGCTAGCAATTCCTTCAAATCCCTTGACCAAGTCATAAAGCTTTGACATGAGAATAGAAACCAGGCAATAGGAGTAGGTTGTTTAGCCCATTTAGCCTTCCTTGCTATTTAATACCATCATGGTTGATCATACAACTAAAGCATTTTATCCTCCACATCACCACATCCCCATAAACCATTGGTAATCAGAAATCTATTAATCTCTATCTTAAACTTAACAATCGTATCTGCTATAATGCAATTGTTACATTCCTGTGTAACGTTGCACTATAGAAATAACGGGTAGAGCGGGGTTGGGGCAGACCACTGAAAAATATCACCCAAATCACTCAAAAGCCTAACACAAAGTATAGCACAGTTAGATATGAATTAAACATTTATTCAAATAATGAAATAAAAGTAAATTTAACACCTTACCTTGAAAAAATGTCGAGATGACTCGATGGGGATGAAGTTTTGTGGTTGCTCTTGTTAATGCTGAGGGGCTGAGGGTCGTCATCATCACCTTCAGGTGCAGTTGTGCTTGCAGGTTTAGGGCGAAAAATAGTTAATCCAGTAGTGGATGGCTGTGGTTCATTGTCTCATGATTGTTTCTTGGAGTTTGGCTTAAAAAGGACATCCAGTTTTTGCTGCTTTGCTCTTTTCCTTCTTTCATGAAGAAGCTGTTCATAGGGTGGAACACAACTATCAACGAACTGCTACCCTGCTGCATTCTGCATTGTAATTGTTGTGCTCTAACGGCTGCAACTGCTTCTCAATTTCCCTCGACAGAAGACAAAACAGAAGTGGAAAGCTCTCGTGGTGCTGCATCCTGGACTTTTTCATCTTCATCTCCAGCTTCCACTTCCCCTTCAGCGAGTAGTTGTTGTAGATCAACTATGGAGAGCTCTTCAACATCCTCACTGGCTACTTCTTCAAATCCCACTTGCTTTGCAAGATCGACAAACAATGTTCTTTGATTGAGAGATAGTAGGAACTGCAGATGCTGGAGAATCCGAGACAACAAGGTGCAGGGCTGGATGAACACAGCAGGCCAAGCAGCA